GACGATGATGATGATGAATACATGATGGGTGCCCGGGAGCAGCAGTTGCAAATGTCATAGCCAGACAGCCAGGCTGACTTCCATAGCGGCCCAAGTTCCAGCAAGGCACGGCACCTCGCCCGTGGGCCATGGCACTCAACCTACAGGTGCACAGCGGACCAGCGTCAGGGTGGGCAGGGGCCACGCAAACGTGGTGTGGCTTACTCCACGTCTGGTGCGATGTAGAGGGTACAAGCGAGGGGGATCCGCTACGCCAGGAACCACATACGGCATCCTCGTCCATCGCACTGTCGCTTCTGTGACATCGCAATTTCACAGCCTGGAATTCGCATCACGAGTCCTCCATCATTTCGCCTGCCATTTGCTCCATTTCCCATATCCACACTAGTGGCACGACGCGAAGCATCGGCAGCTCACCTCGACGCCCATATGGACGAATGTCTGTGACGATTCTCCGGCAGCCTCGTTTCTCCTCTGGCGTTGGAGATACTCGTCTCAGCAGTGGACATGTCTCTCTCTCTCTCTCTCTCTCTCTCTCTATTGACTTACCTACCTAGGCAGATGCATCGAGGCTCTCAATGCAGCCGAATTTATACCTACTTTACCCTGACCAGGCATACTGGGCGGGCAGTAAGGATCCATTCGATCCGACACGCCGTAGGATTGACGTACATGTGTGTCTGTTTGATGTGCCGCCAGGTTAGCGAGCGAGCGTGCGTCTTGGTCGTCTTGGAAGCAATATGACGACCCTGTCACGGCCAGTGGTGGCTCGGAAACGCCATTGAAGCCAATTGTGCGAGCAAGTACTGGGTACCTTCGGCACCACATTCCCCCCACCGGATCTACTCATCTCAAACCAACCTAGTAGCTACTGGGCTGAGGTTCTCCTGCTCCAACCATAGGTACCTTAGCTAGCTACCTTACCAGGTAGGTCCTCAGCTAAGGTTGCTAGCTTGGTAGGCACCTCAATTCGATGTACCAACTTCCGTCTGGTCTGCAACCTCCTGGTTTCCAAGTTTCTTGATGTACGAGTCGAAATCGGCATCGCCCTTTTCGATCCGTCCCAACTCTCTCCTCTACTCCATGTGCCTCTAGTCGACTCAACCTCCCTCTTGCTCTCCCCTCCCCCCCTCTCCCCTTCTTCTCCCTCCTCGTCTCCCCTCG